AGTAATAGGGATTGAGTTATTAAACTGACCAAGGCATGATACTAAATCGCCTCTAAAGTTATAAAAGGGGAGTTCTTTTAATAATAATTTAGCAGCCTTCTCTTTAGACTTAATTCTACGTGTCTCCATAGGCATAGTTGTAGGGTTTTAACACATTAATCAGGATATTTGTATATGAATAAATACTTATCTAGTTTGACGTTGCTATTTCGTCTAGGTCTTCTAAGTCTTTCAATTTTATCGCTGGTGAATTATCTGTCTTTCGCAGGTACACGAAGCCATTCTTCGCCCAGCAATATTTATAGTTCTTGGCAGCTTTGATCTGTTTGCTTTTGTACAATAGCTCTTGGATTCTCGGGGTTAGATGGTCATATAAACTAATATGATTTACATTTGCACTGCTTTCTAACTGTAGCTGTTCCGCATTCAAGTTACCTACAGCTCTTCTGGCAGCCATGACCTTGTCTTTAGCGAGTCGTCTCACAAACTTGCATATTATAGCCTTTGGTGTACTTGATGCCAAACGTGATGGCACCCGATGTGCGGTATCAATGTCACTTATCGAAACATCTTCAACTCCCAGTGCAGTGAATAATTTAATACATAGATCGGCAGTCTGTTGAGCAGTTTCCCTCTCAGCTACTGCTGGGACACCAACAATCTTGATGTTGTACTGATAGCTATAAGCTTCCGATTCTTCAATAAATTTCGCAATACGTTCACATTTTTCCGATATCTTATTTACTTTAGCAGTAAGATCTTGAATCTGCTTATTAGCTTCCTTTTTGAACGAATAGAGCTCGTCATATTTGTTAGACATAAACTCAACTGAATTAGCTCTATCTGGCGACAATTCTTTCTTATCATTTTGTCGGCCATTTTGGCTCTTCGTCTTCGAGGATAAATCTTTAGATATTTTTTGTAGACTCTCTTTTAATTCAGCAATCTCACTTCGGGGTGCTTGATTTTCTTTTTGTAAAGACTCAAGTCTAGTCATCAGTATTAGTTGTTATAAGATATATGTATAATTTAAAACAAAATTCGAGCAAATTCACAATAAAATTCTGCTCGAGAAAATACACGTCCGCTCAGCTCGAGAGCACGTGCCACAGTGATTTGTGTTACCCTGTCTCTGTTCCCCCTCAAATAAAATTCCTCTATGTTACCTGGAACTAATCGCGTTACCGGCAGAATTTCATTTGATGTCTAACATGGTGACTGTCTAGAGAGTGATGGTTTGTATTTGACACACAAAATCATCTTTTTGAATTTGTTTGCTGAAAATTTTCAAAAGTAGGAAATTGAATTATTCAGTTTTGTTTCTTATGGCAATTTTTCATCTCTATATATACCTTAAAATACACTTCATTTTACGGACACGAAATCGACATCAAGACCAATGTGTTAATACTGTATTTATAATATATACTATAATCAGTGACAAAACACTTTGGACAAAATAGCTAAACAGCATACTTTTCCACATAATCAACCCCCCGCACCCCCCGTTCAATGTTGTGTGTGGAAATACCTGTGCAAAATGTTCCTTGCCAGCCACCCAACATTGTTTAGGGTGGGGGAGGGAGGGATAGTGGCTTTATGCTGAACAGTATTTGGAAATGCGGAGATATGTATATATTATAAAACCTTTTGTCACTGATTGTAGCTAGCTAGTTTCAATCAGTTTTATTTAAATTAAATTGATTCAAAATACTAAAATATTTAATTCTAATATATATATATATATATATATATATATATATATATATATGTATATGTATATCAATGTTTAGTTGCAGGATTTTAATAGGCCTATGTCTCTTATAAAATGAATTACGGTATATATTAAAGACGGGTTACAGTCTGTGCTGCGCATGTGCGATTCTTTTTGTTTTGGTAGACTACTTATCTTCGTTTCCATGGTTTCTAGTTCGATTGCATAATATACGCGCGATTCTATATTTGTTGATACAAGGAGTGGGAATACACAGTTTCGAAGAGATTTTCAACGATTTGTGACTTTTATGAAGTGAAATCCGATTAATAACAAATCATTGAAACAATATGAGACGAAGGAAAGAATATTACGCCAACAAAGATGCCTTTAAAGTGTGTTTATTTGAAATTCAGTCAAGCGCTTCGCCATGTCGTTATATGTTTGCCATGTATGTTATACATTTGATTATTTCGTTCTCCTGAGTCGAGACTGGATCTCTAATTCGCTGTGAATTTGTGACAATTTTTAAGCTAGGGCAATTACATTCATTTACTGTCTTAGAAAATATGGGATCTCTGAGTTTTATAGTTCAACTTGTTCAAGACATGTATAGACTATTTATAGTACTTGAAATCTAATTTAATCACCTCAGGCTCAGTACTAGATTAAGATTCAGTCAAGGATAAAATTGATTTCATCTTTATATGGTGAGCTGTTATCAAAATGCTACTGGGATTGAGTTATTGGATGATTATTGTTTTGTAATTCATAATCAGGCATCTCCAGATGAACTTTTTGGTAGCAGCATATATTTTTTTACACCGGACATGATTGTACTGTATGTTGGTTTTCACATGGGACCAGTCCTGTTGACCATACATTCAATCATATTGTTATATATTTTATAGCACTTTTGTGTGATTGCATATTAAAATTAATATCACTACTGCACTGGACAAAAATGTACTATGTTGAATGACATGGCATGATTGTTTGTGAACCTTCAAAAAATGCATAGTGTAATCTTTATAAAGGGTATATACCCCATGTAAATCTTTTTTTTGGAAACATTGATACTCAGATACTGTAGGTTCTCATTCATGGAAAAATTGAGGACAATTTGCAGATCACCACCACCATATTCATGGCTACACCCACCAAAATCTGGACTACTGCAACTGTAAATATTGTGTTCCCCATGCCGACAGGAAGAAAATATATGTGCTCTGTTAGATCAAGATAACATTGTATATGTAGAATACTGTTGTTCCAAGAAATTGTTTTGAGTCAGATGTTCTAAACATTGCCATGAACCCTTAATTGCACTAGCAATTTTCTTCGCAAATTTCTTCTCATGGTACATGTAGGAACATTGATGAAAATACAATAGTAACTGTATTTTCAGTTGTGACATTTATTTTGAAAAACATCATCACAGTCCTGAAGAAAGTTGCTAGTGTGAACAATAGTTACTGACAATACAAATCTTGTAGAAAGTTGCTGGTGTGAACCACATCTTGGCAATATCTGTTGCATGGCATCAATTAGCCACCCAGACAAAAGTGTTATTACTGTTATACCTAGTTGTTGTAAAAAATTCCATATTATAGCATATTGCTTTATACCACACTAATGATCAGATGTTCATACTTTACTACAATATAATATAATAAAATGCAATACATGTAATATCATTCATTGTTAAACATCTAATGAAACTCCCAAAACAAAGCAGATGTAAGGATTAGAGAATTTTTCCCCTGACTATGTTACATGATGGTAATGTTATCTCCACCAAAACTATCAGTATTTATATCTCAATGTTGGCCAGATAACTATTTTAGCCAGAATGTTAAAACTGCTATACTACATTTTTGTTCACATGGCATGAAACATGGTGCTTGAAATCAGTTATCATATATCCATACAAAAAGATAATGAAATACATAAAGTAGCTACAGGAAATAGAACTAGAAAACATTTTATAGGTGGCTATTTACAGTGCGTCTACAGTAAGTGGGGCCACTTACAGAACACTAACCAATCACATTGAAGAACAGAAATTGAAAAAATCAACAAACGGTGCATTAGCCAATCAGCATTAGGCCAAAAACAATTTGAACAAATAAACGAATGTCAAACGGTAGAAATAGACTTGTAAAAGTAAACACTGCAGTTAATGGCTTCCTGAATCTTTCCTTTGATTGGACGAGCTTTAGTTTGATTAGATTTTTCTTTCTGTTCTGCAATGCGATTGGTTAGTGTTCTCTAAGTGGCCCCACTTACAGTAGATGCACTGTAAGGACATAATTTTCTGACTCTCAACCAGCACTGGATAATATTCCCAAGTCAATCAAACTATTCTCAACTCAATCAAATTATTCTAACTCATAAACAATACTTGTGCTCTTATGTAATGTGAATTGTTATTATAAGGCAGTACATTCTTCCATCTTTGTTTCATCAGCATCCAATCTGTATTGTTTCTTCTATATTTATTCCTCTCTTTAAATTTGTTTCTGATTGGTTAACCACTATATGGTTGTTATAACCACATCCCCACACTCATCACAATGTTTATTCGATGTTAGTGTTGTACAATCTGTAATGTTTCCATGAGCTCAAGGTATAAACCTATTATAGTACAGCATAATAGAAATTTTATTCAGTATGTTCAATCATGTCGTGTAGAAAAATTCAATATATTCTGCTACAAGAAAGTTCATCTGGAGATGCCTGATTTATGAATTACAAAACAATAATCATCCAATAACTCAATCCCAGTAGCATTTTGATAACAGCTCGCCATATAAAGATGAAATCAGTTTTATTCTTGACTGAATCAAGCTATAGTACTGAGCCGAGGTGAAGTACTACAAATATACATCAATAATACATGTCTCGAACAAGTTGAATTATAAACTCAGAGATCCCATCTTTTCTCAGACAGTAAATGAATAAAATTGCCCTAGCTTAAAAATTGTCACAATTTCACAGCGAATTAGAGATCCAGTCTCGACTCTGGAGAACAAAATAATCAAATGTAAAACAAATATTTACCTTTATATGACAGTATATAAACTTCGACATGGCGATGCGCTTGACTGAATTTCAAATAAACACAATTTAAAGGCATCCTTGTTGGCGTAATATTCTTTCTTCTCATATTGTTTCAATGATTTGTTATTAATCGGATTTCACTTCATAAAAGTCACAAATCGTTGAAAATCTCTTCGAAACTGTGTATTCCCACTCCTTGTATCAACAAATATAGAATCGCGCGTATATTACGCAATCGAACTGGAAACCATGGAAACGAGAGATAAGTAGTCTACCAAAACAAAAAAATCGCACATGCGCAGCACGGACTGTAACCCGTCTTTAATTTACAAACACGAACTTTTAATAGAAAAATGTGAATATTTACCATTATATAATAGGTATATACTATTATTATATACACAAGGTCTGGATATGAGGTATTCTGGTTAGCAAATAAATTTTTAATATTTAAAATGGTTAAAAATATATATTTTTGAAAAAATAATCGGCTGAAAGAGCGAAGATAAAAACATAAACAAAATAGAAAAATATTGAAAATATTCGAAAAGCAAAGTCTGTGAATATAGACCTGGTGTATATAATAAAACAGTTATTCCACTCACTCTCATCGAATATGAGCGATAGCCGATTCGGCGCTATTCGACTCGAGTTCGTAGAATAACTGTTAAATAGCTATATAATATATATGATATGTTTGTTTGATAACATTCACAACTTATTGTACAACTCAATTTCTGTTTTTATGAGAGGGAATTAATAACTTTTTATGGGTTTATGCCAGTGTTGTAACGAGTTGAGTCATTGACTTGGACTTGAGTCAACTCGAGTCACTATTTTCAGTGACTCCACTCGAGTAAACAGCCCCAAATGACTCGGACTCGACTTGCTGTTTTTGCCATAAATGACTTGAGTCAACTCAGCTACAACTTGTACAGAGTAAATTCATCAGAATTATTGTGATTGTATTGCTTGGGAAAATCAATGAGCCCTGTAAGCCATGAGAACTTCGAAAGACGAAACTTTATCAGAACATATATGTGATTTGCATAGAATATATTGCTGGGGCCGGTTGTTCAAATGTGGATTAGCGCTAATCCAGGTTTAAAATTTAACCCACTGTTTTAGTTTGCATATTTCTGCATGTCCATTTATTTCAAAATGTCAGAAAAGAAAACTTCTATTGATCCAAACATGATTTGTGAAGAAATATTTCCAAATTTATAAACAAGCTATTAGGGAGTTTCCTTTGAATTTCAAGTTAACCTAGGATTAAGCTAATCGGCTTTTGAACGGCCGGCCCCTGACGGGCATACCTATATTGCATTTCTGTTTTTAGAAACAACATTAGTGCCACAGTTTTTAAAATGGAGTCTCAAAAATTTTTTGTACTTCTGTTAATTCTGACAGGCTATTTTCATTTTTGGTATTTATGAAGGGCTATATAATTTCAAATTAACTTAAAAAGCGTGGTTAATTAAATTAAGTCTATTCTTTGTTAATTCTGACTATACAGTTGCAAGTTATGCTAGTTGTATGTATGTACATTCGGTTTAAACGACTAAAGTAATTAGTTTAAAACGCAAATTTGATTAATATTTTCCGACTGCAAGCTACACTGTTAATTTCGAGGAGTCAAATTGACTCCAAAAGTGGAGTAAATAAAAAAGGTACAGAACGACTCCTTTTTTGGAGTAAATTTTACTCCTTTATTTACTCCATTTTTGGTGTAAATTTTACTCCATAAGTAGAGTTGTTTTTACTCCTCAAAGAGTAAAAACAACTCTACTAAAGGAGTAAAATTTACACCAAAAATGGAGTAAATAAAGGAGTAAAATTTACTCCAAAAAAGGAGTCGTTCTGTACCTTTTTTATTTACTCCACTTTTGGAGTCAATTCGACTCCTTTGGAGACAAAATGACTTCTATATATCGGAGTAAAGAAAAGTCTTTAATTAACTTTAGAAATCAATAAAGACATTTTTCGAGTCAAAATAATTTATTATCCCTACAAGTAAGGTATATTATAGCAGGAAATACAATTTGCTGTAGCATAATATAATGATATACTCTTACGCCCTATAATATTTTAATGAAGTTCTAAATTGATTAGAATGATATCATGAATACATGTGGAATACAATTACAAGCCTGTCAGCATGAATTGAACCTGTAGCCCTGCAATTCTACCGCAGCCCTCTGACTTAAAGAGCCCTTTTGCCAAGAGGTAACCACAAGTTGCTGTATATATAGTATATACCATGGTGGTGTCATTGGTAGTGTATTAAATAAACTGCCCAGGATGACACTAGTATTATATACATGAACTCTTGGTTACAGTAGAGCTTGATTGACTCTCAGGGCGATGGACTCTTAGGGCTTCAGGACCCTTGACGGTTGAAAAGCTGATCAGAATCACCTGTAGGGCAGCAGGTTCCATTCTCAGCCCAGTAAAGGCTATTACATAGTTATCGTTCAAAAAATTTACATTTACAGAAAAGCTTTAACCCATTAAGTGGCAGCACTCTCTCCTTAATGAGCAAAAATTGTCTGACCACATTAGACAGAAAAAATAAAAAAGTAAAGCAAATTGCCACTTAAAGGGTTAATATTCTGTTCAATGTAGAATATTTACAAGTAAAATATACTGCATGTATTAAATGTATGTAGTGTCACTGCTCAATCAAACATGTCAAGCAAGTGAATTAGTAAAAATTTAGTACAAAACAAGCTGTATACCACAAGTCGGCAACTCCATCCCTTGCATGGTTTGGTAATTCACAAAAATGCTCTCCAGCAAAAGAATAACATTTTCCAAATAGACCATGAAGTTCTTAGAATGCCATTATTGATTACATATAATACCACTTGTTTAGACAACTTGCCTTCTCCTGGGAAGCTTTTGTTAAATCCATAAATTAATGACAATCCCTAGTAAGAAAAATATATATAAGGTTGATATTTAACAGCAGCAAATTATTGATTGATGTTTGTGATGTTACTCTGAGTGTACATCCACACCGGGCAAGCTGAAAAGTTTGGCCACGGTGGGAATCGAACCTGCGGCCTTTGGAATACTAGTCCAATGCTCTGCCAACTGAGCTACATATTTTGGAACTGAGTCTAGTTCCTTCGATATCAGTGTACAGTGTTATTCAATGATACGATTATTTTGTGTGTGTTGGTGTCATGTACTCAGGTGAATATATAATGTTTGTGATGTTACTCTCACTGAGTGTGAATCCACACTGGGTAAGCTGAAAAGTTAGCTTGGCCACGGTCACAGGTTCGATTCCCACTGTGGCCAAGTTAAATTTTCAGCTTGCCCGGTGTGGGTGCACACTCACAGTAACATCACAAACATCATATATCCACCTGAGTACACATAACACCAACACACACAAAATAAAAATTATTGATTGATTGACAATGAATTTGCTATTTTTGCATGGTTGTTTGCATATACAAAGCAAGAAATACAAAATTCAAATGCTTTTACTCATTTAATGTAAGCATGCAATTGAACTAACATCATCCAAATGAATACAACTTTTCTGGTAAAGGGTGTTTAAAATAGAGGTGCATAATTGACCCAAAATTCATTGTCCCAAAATCTTGCTAATGCTAAGCTAGGATTTTCCATATAAATTATATACAATCACCCACGATTTGGCACGGTATTACCCCTGGGCCCAGCTGGGTAAAAAGATCTCTGTGATTGTTTTTGTCAGTTTATACATTTCGAGACTGTCTGCAAAAGTATGAGTGATTGATCACTTGTTGGTTCACTTTATTGGTAAATGTGCTTGTACTATATAACTCAGTCTGGGTGATTTGTTTTGGCAAGCCTGCCCATCTAAAGAGGCTCATGTAACCAGACATTCATCCAGGGAAAGCGAGCTATTGCCAGGTTACCTGGGTGGCTCGCCTCTATATAAGCAGCCCCTTACACGTATTTTAGGCTGACTGATAGCCGATAGGAGGGCTACCATAGCAAGCACAAGCCATACACTGGGTAATATTAGATGGCTATTGCAATGCTGTCAAATGTGACTGCATTTCAAAAAGATCACATATATATATTAAAGTATACATATTTAACACGAAATACAACATACATGTATATCACACAAATAAAGCCCCGTTTACACGAGCAAATTTTATTTGACAAATTTCATATGTCAGAGATATTTTGCTCGTGTAGATGATAAATTTGTGACAAATTTATTGTGACAAATGCATTTGAACAACAAATGCTTTTGATGAAATTTGTCAAATAAAATTTGCTCGTGTAAACGGGGCTAACAACACATATAAGTAGAGACTGTAGATTAGACTTATGGACTTCTGCTAATACAAATTAATCGAAAATTAAAACTGAACGTCTAGATTGGCAAATCGGCGGCGAAGCGACTAAAATACAGGCCTTCATCTTCGATTTAAAAATATAACTATACAGTATATCAAGTAACTTTCCGCACACAAATAAGTAAATACACAATAAACATACCTTTGAAAACAAATTCCATGTATCTTATTAGGTCTTTGGAACTTTATAAGTAGAAAATTTGAATAAATATCATTCCCTTTGAATACCTTGCTCCCGAAGGATTGAACTTGGCGCTTGGTCTTTGTATGAACCAGATCGAATTACTACAACACGTGATATATTCTAAGCATGCTAATTGGTTGAAAATCTGGAACTTCCACTTGTTGCAAATTATATTCAACAGAATTCAGCAGCAGAACATTCCACACGTTCAAATTACAGATTTAGGCAGCAAATAAAAAAATATACATGACTCGCTGACAATTTCTGGCTACATTCGATCGCCGCGTGGGACGGAAGCCGATATACAGTATAATACATCAATGGCATCAATCTGACTTGGCAACATTCGAGTACGTAAAATTCGAGTACGTATAAACGTAAAATTTAAAAAAAAGACTTTATATCTCGAACTTCGTGCTTTTCGCATCTGACTGTATTCAATACTTTAATAGAGTATAGCCTCCAGCAGAAAAACTCTTGGATTCTCAGGCACATTAATGATATATTTTAATAATTTACTCCAGATCCAGAACAATTTTACTCTTTTTTGGGAGTTGAAACGACTCCTGGAGTAAAATTAAGGAGTACAAATTACTCCATAATTTCTACTCCTAAAAGCTAGTTTAGTTTACTCCTCCAGCGAAGTTAAATTGACTCCTGATGGAGTAAATTGTAGAATGCGCGCCGAAGTGGAGTAGTTTTAACTCTATTTTGGGAGTAGATTTTACTCCACAATTTTTACTCTCCCGAGTTGAGTATAGTTTTAACTCCTATGGTGGAGTTAAAATAACTCCTTGAAATTAACAGTGTAGGATAGCTCAAGTCAAGTTACAACACTGGTTTATGCGCCAGGAATTGACAATCTAATGCATGTTCACAATTTTGTGTCCGTAAAATGAGGTTATTTTATTATTATTATTAATATTTCAAGGTATTTAAGACGAAAAATTGGCTAAGGAACAAAACTGAATAATTAAATTTCCTACTTTTGAAAATTTTCAGCAAACAAATTCAAAACGATGATTTTGTGTGCCAAATACAAACCATCACTCTCCAGACGGTTGCCATGTTGGACGTCAAGAGAAATTCTTCCGGTACTGCGATAGGCATTAGTTCCAGGTATAATAGAGGAATTTTATTCGAGAGGTAACACAAATCGCTGTGACAGCAGCATCCAGTGAATTCCCAGGGTCTGAAATTTGCAGTATTCCGATATTCACAGGATACCAAAAATTTGGTTTTGGATACCAAACTATGAATGATACTATCCCCACTGAATACTAAGAAAATTCCAAACATTAAAAAAATGTTACACCTTTGACGGGCTCCTGATAGTTTTTCCTCACTGAGGACTAGAATATAGAAGTTTATTGAAGGATTATGTGGATTTTTAATACTGTATTTAATAATTGTTTATTTGTTGTTAACTTTTGAGTCTCCTTGAGTTGTTATTGTAATTTGTAACAGTGAGAGTTACGGAAACTTATTTGGATGGGACGGGGTATACTTGTGGTACTGCTAACCAGTGTCCAGAAGTGGGATACTCAGGACTGGATTCTCAGGAGGGATAGTAAACTTTGAATCCTGGAATAACACCTTCTGTGGTCCCCACAACTATAGTGTGTATTCAGTTTTTGGTCTCCACAAACTATGATACACAGGTATACGTCTAATTAGTGTCTTTGGTGACTTGTGGAGACCGAAACCTAAATACACACTATAGTTGTGGGGACCACGGAAGTTGTAGCCAGTCCTGTAGATCTGGGTATGAGTAATAATATTTTGTAAGCAATAGGGATCAGTTAATTTCCATTTATTTTGAAGTTGTTGCGAAACATAGCTGGCAGATGCGGTAACTGCGCTGCCCCCTTACCTTTGAGTTTAGCCATTTATAAAGCAGTGGCGAACATTTCATGAAATATTGCTTGGGGGTGCGAATTTAGGTTACCACATATAACCGTCTTTTCAATCCTGGAAATCTCAATACCTAAAACCTTTCTGACTTGAATTTCATGCAAATGTTCTTAAATTAGTCTATCAAGGCTTTCCTGGTTGTAAAATCGTTGATACAGTTAGTTACACAGTCAGTTAATTAGCTATCACTTAAAGCCTCGTGAACAATTAATAGTGGGCGACTGTCACCTTGCCCCCCCCCACCGGTGTCCGCCAACAGCTACATGTATACAGCGGGTCGTGGGCACGGATTTGCTCAGTTATGTACTGTCAGTGTGCTTGATAAACCGATGTAAATTGAGACTGGTTGGTTCTCTCCTTTCCTTCGAAGGATTTTTCCACGTGCTCCGGTTTTTCTTCGACCTTAGTAAAAACTAGCCCTTGGGCACTATATGACCACCATCTAATAGTACTTAACATATTTTAGTCAGTATAAAGTCAGTTTAATGAATCTTGATTTCAAGTAATTTTATTTGAGAAAAACGTGACTTTAATAGCTGAGTTAAAAGACCAACGATTTTTCCCACAAAAAGGATAATCAATTTTGTTCACTGTAACACTGACATCTTATTTTACTTTGCAGTCAGTGTATTTAGCCAAGTACAACATTATGGAAAAGTCACCGCGACCAGGTACAATTCATATTCGATATTTGTGATGTTCTTCCCGCATAAATTATCCTTGTATGTACTAATTCTTGGGTTTCATATGACGTCACAGAAGTGACGGGGGTCAACTCTAAAACAAAACACGGTAATCAGAGTGAGTCTCAGTCTTGGTGAGTAATCAGAGTGAGTCTTGGTGAGTAATCAGAGTGAGTCTTGGTGAGTAATCAGAGTGGGTCTTGGTGAGTAATCAGAGTGAGTCTTGGACTCTTGGTGAGTAATCAGAGTGAGTCTTGGTGAGTAATCAGAGTGAGTCTTGGTGAGTAATCAGAGTGAGTCTTGGTGAGTAATCAGAGTGAGTCTTTTCTTGGTGCACGACTCAGAAAATCCGAAATTTGTTTCTTTGAATTCCGGCGTGAACGATCATAGTATAATTTTATATATGCTGAATCTGAAATGAATATACAGTAAACGAGCCGAAGACAATGCAAGGTAAAATTAAGGTTATAACTTAAACTACACAACGTAGTTAATAGATAACTACTTTATGAGAAGCATATAGGTGTCATATCAATATAAAATTTATGCAACAACATTCGCTAATAGTTAGCTCAACTTAGCTGTGGAAACGTGAAAACTGTAGTGTGAATTGCAGGGGCGTAGGAAGCTTCTAAAAGTTGGGGGGCAGGTTTTGAGAGATACTTTTCGAAAAAAAAGGCATCTAAAAATTTTTTACCGCAAATGTCGGGGACAAGGGGGGGGGCAGGTCATCTCAAAAAAATTTTCTGGACATAACAAAAAATTTTCCGGATATATATCACATTTTTTCCTAAATATGAAAAAAATTTCCGGATATACAAAAAATTTTTCTGGATATATGATATTTTTCCCGGAAAAGAAAAAAATTTTCCGGAAATAACATAGATTCAAGTTTTCAAAAGTGCCCTTTGGGCAAAAAAATGGAATCTTATTGACATTTTTCACGCAAGAAAAGGCACTTTGCTCCCGGAAAAAAGGCACTTGGCAAAACTTGGGGGCCTGGCCCCCGGTCCTTACGCCCCTGAGTGTGAAGTATGATATTGTAAT